AACGTACTATATAATTATTTATTAATATTAGGTAACATTTTGACTATGAATTGGTTTGTTCACACTAGATAACGGTTGTCAAAATATATTTAGGTACAGCAATAAAATGAATTTAATGGACTTTTTTGTAGGACTGTTTAAAAGTTTGAAGAATTTTACGATGTTTTTACTTATCTATATTTTTTGTTATAAGGTGTGATATACTGCTATCCTACACCTTAAAGGTTGTTACCTTCATGATAATTATATGGTATATTCAGTAACTAAGAACAACAATATTTGAAGCTGTGAACATTCTGATCTATCCACAAACAAGCAAATGAATATGCACACGATACACATATCAAAATAACATTTTTTACAATTTTTCATTTTTTTTTGTTTGTATTAGCTTATATCTGAAATGGCTGGACCGATTTTGACGGGACTTTTATTGGCAAGTAGCTGATGTTCATCAATACCAAGAGTATCATATGCTACTTTTATTTGGGAAAATTGAAACAAAAATTGTTATGTCCTAAACTTTTTATTCTACGCGGAGGAAGTCGCCGGTAACTAACAGCTAGTGTTTAATATTCACGTTATTTAAGAAATGAATATGACACCATACTTATCAATATCAGGATAAATAGGAAGAGGAATTGTCTTTACAATTCCAGTTCCTATACTACATACATAAAAACTAATTATCAAATTGATTTTTCAATCGAAAACCTTTACAAAACTTACTTTGCATTCATCATGGCTGAAGATAGATCCCTGGACTATTAAAGAAAAGCTACATTACTTCAATCAAAATTAAATCTTATTGTCTGCAGTACCTCATCATCAATATCATCATCAGCCTATAAGTGGCCACCGCTGACCAAAAGCCTCTTCTCACACAGAGAAGGACTGAGCATTAATCACCACGCTTGCTCAATGCGGGTTGGCGATTTCAAACTTATTATTAGAAATTATAAGCCCACGTTTCCTCCCGATATTTTCCTTCACCGTTTTTTTTTTTTTTTTTTTTAAATCTTACATTTCTTATTCTCCACGGACTCTTGTCCGTACCCTTGTCATTCCATTACATTTTCTTTTAATAATTTACAGTCAAAATTACTTGTTACAAAAATCTTACGTGCTACATTAACCACATTTTTTTTTCCACAAAGAAGGTTGTGTCTAAATCTAATATCTATATAAATATACACAATACATGTTTTATTACATTTACATTAACCTTACTGGATCGGCCCACACGCGCGATGAGCGAGCCGACCTGCTCCAGCAGAAGGCGCCCGTTCACGAGCATGACGTGAGGGCCAGCAATCGATCCGATCAACCATTTCGTAGGGAACGGAGCGACCCAGTCCACAGCGCCACCGACTGTAGAACATTTAAGAATGCATGACGTCTGCTCACGCAGCAGTAAGCCGATTCCAGTAGTGCCAATGGATTTTGTCAGTCTTATTGATAAAATTTACATTACGTTACATTATATTTACTACATTTTAACATTATTAAACACACACAAATATAGAGGTATATTAATGTCACGCTTGCATCACAATTTAAGCTTACAGCGAGCCCTCCCCACCCAAAAGAGCGCCCACTACCGCCATGTCCCTGTTGCTGATAGCCATTTTCAAGTTATAGTCCAGGATCCCCCGCTCACTCTCACCCACCGCTCGTCTGATTAATTTGCTGATCGCGTCGTCACTGATATTCGTGTAGTAAACACAGCTGTTTGTGTGACGGGATATAGCTACCACGGCGTGCGATACACTGTCGTGTATCCGCTGTTTCTTCTCCGCTGTATTCACAACAACCACTGCCGCGTACGAAAGCCCCTGAGCCTCGTGTATTGTGAGTACGCGTGATCCCACACCCGATCCGTATCCCTGGTTTTTAAGGGATTCCTTTTCTACCTGAGTGTGTACCAGGTATAACGTGTTCGGAGGAGATTTGGGTATTCGCGACCCTGAGAAGCTTTTTAACTCAAGGGATCTCACACCCGACGCGGACGAATATATGCCACTGTACACAGTACTGAGAGCATATGCCACATCCATAGGGTTTCTGTGAGTGCAGAGAAGTTCTTGGCTAATAGCCGCGACGTGCGTAGGGCGGTTGTAAATGAGGGGGAAGAGGTTGTCTCGGTCAATGAAGGGAAGTTGATTTATGTCACCAATCAGCAGAACTTCCTTGGCCCGAGTTATTCGGGCCGCCATCACAATGGCCCCAAAGTGATTCATAAGAGCCTCATCAACCATGATTCGGTGGCAGCTCTCTTGCTCTTTTAATCCGTTCACTAAAATGGATGCCATTGTTCGGACTTTGGATTTGACTAATCCTCCGATTCGGCAGGATAGTTTGCCTCTGAGGTCATTTGCTGCTTCAGTTGTTGTGGTGACGAGTAAATCCCTTTCCGCTTCGAATTCATTTATTATCCATGTAGTTTTGCCGCATCCCGGCACTCCATTTGTCCAGTGAAATGTCGGGGCATCCCAGCCCCCAAAGTCCACGCCGCCCGGTGCAGGCTCCGAAATGGATCCCACCATTTCCAAGATCCGATCCTCCAACATAATCCTGGTGCACCCGGCAACTACCACTAAGGAGTCTTCAGGAGGAGTTTTAAATTTCACAACTCCCCGTTTATTCCTTCACCGTTTGTCATTGGTGTCTAGATAATCTTAGAAAGTACATATAACTCGGAAAAAGTCACATTGGTACTTGCCATTTTTAGGTTTCGAACCCGCGCTCTCATGCATGAGAAGCGGGCGTCTTAAACCTCAGGGCCACCATGACTTTTTCTGCAGTACCTATCGCAGAAAAAGTCCAAGAATCTTTTACACAAATACAACTTATAACATCGTTACTTTGCAGACTGGGGAAACACGACCAGAATACAAAACAGTTAACATAACCTCCCTTATCTACACAATCGGTTTACGCATAATTTGGTTAGGGACGATAAATCTCAGTTTAGGGAAAGTGAATTAGATTATGGAAGGCTGAATGGGATAACGTACTGTATTATGTGATTATAGAGGTCATTTTCCATTGATTAATTTTATAATCTTGCTTTTAATTTGATTTCAGTATCTGCTGGTATTGTGTAACTATGTTGGGGTGAGTTTGTTTGGATTGTTAGCATCGTAGCTAGATGATGAGGATCGCTAAATAGGACATAATTTGATAAGCTTTTATAATTCTGAGTTTGTTTATGAAGGGACAGGGGGGTACCTATTTGTAAAGCGTCTTCTCAATTGTAGGATAAGTCAAAATTTTCTATAATACTGCGTAATACAGTTTGGAAGGAAGGAAGGAAGTTAAAAACGTTATGTTTTCGATTGGTAGAACTACCTATCTCACAATTTTCTCAAAACATCTCAACTACATAGCTAGCACAAGTAACATTACAGTTATTATAAAACCAGGCTTTCTACCCACAACAGATAATGCTACCTCAGTTCCCCGCAATATTAGATTGACACATCATCGCGTTACTGACGCGACGCGACGTGGGACCACCGAGTGTCTTGTCATTAATAAAGCGTAGATTGAGCTAGGCCGTCGTGTAATATAGTCGGGTGTTGCAGATGAGCTCGGTTTTTACGGCACGAGCTCGCGGCCACCCGCAGAGGCAACACTTAATGCTGTACCATCTCTAGTATCTGCTACGCCACGCGTAGTCGCGTAGTCGCGTAGCTGTGAGGCGTAGCCGCGTTGGTGTGGCGTAGCATTTAGATTTTTTTTTAATGTGTAGCATTTTTACATATAGATACAATTACATGCGTAAACTAATGTATTTAACTAATGAAGTCAGAAATCAAAAATGAAATTAAGTACGGACTCTAGTGACTGTCCTTGCGTATTTACTACCATATAACATACACATTCACACAGCTGATCGTTCTACACTAGGTGTTTTTGAAAACTTCTCAGTTTATAGCTTTAATGTGTGTTTATCTGCCTATGTCTAAAGATAAAAATCGTATTTTAACAAATATTGTAACCTTTTTACAATACTTACGTTATACAGGCGTAGCACGCGTAGCGGCGTTGTAATAGTTGACAAATGCTACGTTTCTGGCGGAGTTGTAGGTGGCGAAGCGTATACTAAATATGTTTTCGTCTTTACTATGCTCCTCTCGTCATTTGTGGTTTCAATTCACTTTTTACGACGAACGTCGCCCTCTTTGCGTCCCAAATTACTTTAAACCAAAAATGTCGTAATCACCACAGTTTGTCAATCTAAAACTGTATTTATTCATTTGTATTAAAGCCCACATCCGGTTGCTTTGGCATGCACTTAAGATTATTGCAGTTTGTAAAGTGCTTGTGCCAAAATTCATTTGCGATTGAGTTGATTAAAACAGTAGGTGTATCAGTGAAGGGTATCAGACAGCTTGTTTGTTTAGGATTATTTCTATTCATGGTTAATCACCTTTTTGTTTTTAGATTTTTTTTCCTTCTATAAGACTTTCGCAGAGAGGTTTTTAGTATATAGATCTTTGTGTTTTTGCATATTTATAATTTGTTGGTGCAATACTTGTATTTTTGTGCTGTCATCGATTGATTGTGCTTATTTACAGTTCACTGACATTTTATGTGCACAATTTCATATAGTTTTCTTATTGATTTTATTTAGTTTCAAGTACATGAATAATATGTTATAAGTAGATTTTATTCACTAGGTGATTTTTAATGCCCTTTGCAATTATGGCCATAACTTAAACTAAGTAATATTTAAAATTGGCATGTGTAAGTATGTATGTATTAATTTCTTAATATCAATTGATTGGTCTCATTGTCATTCCCTATAGATGTCGATGGATCTCGTATTGCTTCTCCTAAACTTGGTACGGCATCTCGCCACTAGATGGTAGCACTAAGACTAATGTAATTTTTAGTCCATACTTACCTTTATTCTGTTCAAGTAGGGTTTAATAATAAAAATGCAAATATCCACTCGGAAAAATATATTCAATTTTTATAAAATCAATATCAGGCATTTTTTTAATTCGCACAATTTTGTACAATATACATTTTACAAATACAAGATTTTCAAGCTAACATTTTAATTATCGAACAATTTCGATTTGAGGACGCAAGGCCAACGATATAGAACAAAATATATGCAGTAACTGTTTTACTAGACTATTATTTGTTAAAACATATATCCAGCGAACATTTTATAGAAGTAGTCTAGGTAGATAGGTACTTTTCTCATGAACAACCTTTACAGTTTCAGTCAGTTCGGCAAATTGCAACGCTAAAGGATGGGTTTAAGGTGGTATTTCGCATAAGTTTATTTTTACAGAATTATCTAGAGCTGTAAGTCAAAATATCGGTAAGTAATACGTATGTTACGATTGCTTATGTACAATATATTATACATACACATTCCGTACAAAATACGCCACCGATTAACCCAACTCATTTAGCATTATTCCACAGTTTTCAAGCGTTTACTGATTGTCAATTCGAAGACTATATTAACATGCATTTACACTTTCACAGATGAAATGTTACATTTAAGTCCAATGTACATAATGTCTTAAATCTATGATCATTGTAGTTGTTTATGAGAAAAGTAAATTATACATTTGCTTAGTTCTGTATGTACAATAAATAAACGATTCCTTTTGAAACATGCTGAGGTATTGTTTCAATAAATTAATCTGCAATTTTGGACTAAAGAGTGATTCTACTTACACTAATTTAACATATAATATCTAACTATAATATGAGATAATTATTTATTTTTAATAGTATCTATACTGTACAACACTTTAAGTCTCACAACAAATACGTACACGTGGTGTCGCGTCGAGCGGCGCATTGTCTCTAGTTACACGTGTGGGTCCTATGTTACAGTGTAGTGATATGTGGTATGTACAGCGGGCGGCGGCGAGGCGCGCTATCACAGGAGCGGCGGGGCGTGGTGCGCGAGCGCCGCGCGCCCCCGTCACACCAGCGAGCTCGGCTTCACGTCCAGCCCGTGCTCCGGCGAGCGCCCGCCTGCGCCGCCCTCGCCCTGACTGTTCTCCTCCGAGTCTGAGCACGAATCTGAACTACCCTTTTTACCACCGTTGTGAGTTTTCACGTGCTTCGCGAGGTGATCCGACCTCATGAACCTCTTATTGCACACAGGACACGCAAATCGTTTTTCACCCGTATGTGTCCGTAGGTGTCGCTGCAGTTCGTCTGAGCGAGTAAATCTTTTTCCACAGAATAACCAGTTACATACAAACGGTCTCTCGCCAGTGTGCCAGCGGAGATGAGCTTTAAGGTGGGACGTTTTTCCATAAACTTTTCCGCAACCGGGTATATGACAACTGTGTATATTTTTCTTTCTTAGATGTGCCCCAGCAGGCCCGAGTCTCTCTGCTTCTTGACAGTTAGGGCAATCACAAGTAGCTCGGCCAGCGTATCGCCGTTGTGATCTCGGAGACGGTGCTTGTGCAGGTGGCGCTGGCGAGCCAGGGGCGTGCAAGCCAAATGATCCTTGTGTTGGGAGCACAGACTTGTACGCGTCTTGTAACAGATGTGGTGCGGGGGGCAGTAAGTGTGCACCACCAGAGAGCGAATGTGTCAGTTGTGAGTAGTCCTGGCCGGCGTAGTTTGCCATCTGCCCACCGACGTCCAGCCAGCCACTGTGCACGTCCCACCAAGTACTGCCAACTGCACTTACGCCACTCATTTCAGCTGCTTTGAGAGCACCAGTTCCTCCACCGCCGCCAACATTGAAAGGCCACGACTCATATGGGTGCCGCGAGTACATAGAGCCGAGGCTTGCACTGGATTCACTTTTACCGAGGAGCTGATCTCCCGAAGACGGGAAGTAGAGATCATTGCCGTAGGAGGGCGCCGCAGCGCACGAGGTGGGCCCGCGGCCGTACGGTGAGCAGGCTGGCGGCTGCGAGCGCGGCGCGGCTCCAGCGCCAGGAGGCGAGTGCGCGCCCGGGCTCTTCTTCCACGGGTGGAACCCCTTGCCCACGGCTGCATCAGCCAGTGGAGGGGGAGATTTACTTGACAGTTTGTTGCATTGTGCCGCTAGCATCGCCAGAGGCGTACCGCGTAAGCTCGGATGTTCCTGGAACGACAGAAAATAAATAGTTAATTATTTTGAACAAAAAAAGCAATACTTTATTCGGGTTTAATTATCGATCTCTGTTTAAACCGTGGGAATCGGTAAAAATGTCAAACAAGATTTATAGTCTAATTTATATGTGAACTAATGCTGCGGTGTTCCGCTCGTGCCCGCAGGCTTCAGAAATAATATAAATAAATTACGAGAGCTTATAGGTAGTGTATTTACAATTAGGCGGCGTGGTGACAGCTCCCTGCTGCTACCGGCCGCTCGACGTCGTTATTAATAAATGCTGCCTACACGCGGCCTCGTGAGCCGCAGCTCTCAATTTTATTGATTTGAAACAATCAATTCTGGTTAAGATTTGTTTTAAGATTTATCAGACTTGTTAAGTAAGGGTTATTATTTGAGAGCATCATTTGGTATTTATTGTTATTGGAATTCAAAATAATATGCCATACATAGCAATAATAATTCGTGCACGCCAATAACGAATAATAATCCGTTCGTTGATGTTCTTTTTGCTAAATAAAGGTGAGAGCCATAATAAGAGCATCCGGCCGGATATTTCACCCTAGTGTGAGACACAATGGTTTGATAAAAAAGTTCCATTGTATGCAATACTAATATAATCCGGGGATCACGACACGGGTCCGAGACGAAGGGGGGCGAGGGGTGAGGGGGTGTGCAGCCACGCCCATTATATTGTGATTGGCGCAGCTGTTGCGTCGCAATGTAAGCCAACCCTTAATGTTGAGCTTTATACCCTTAGGTTTAAACGGTTCAAGTTCATTGAGCTCACAAATTTAAAGATAACGAAGTCGGTTAATAATATTATGTAAAAAATTTAGGGCGTGAGAATCACATCTTCGCTTTCCTATATCTGCATACATAATGATTAATTTTCAGAAACTATGTTAAACGAGTACCTAAATAGGTTTTTTCATAATTAAAAGTTTGATCCCTTAAACGTGACATAGATCTAGTTCGTATTAGTAATACAGATACGTAATGAGCGGCGCTACAATCGGTTACAAAGTTACAATCCTAACTAATCACGGGCATGAATGCGGATAGAGTAAGATAGCAATAATTACAACGCACGATGTATTATTAATACCTACCGGCTGATGTGGGCCAGCGGCCAGCGGCCAGCGGCATTCTAGTAAATAGAAATAATGGGCCCTGCCCAGCGCTATCAAACGTCAACATCTACGGAGCTCACTTGTAAATATGGCTGCGCTCTCAATTAACTCCACGACAATTACAATTACCATAAAAAAATAATAAAACTCCGCCAAATTGCGGCGGCGGCCACTTACGTCGTATGAACTCGCCACATTACCTCCACGAATATTATTTGCTCTCAGTTATAGAATTATTGTTGTCTTGATGATCTACGTTTTACGTCCTTCGTTCGACCTATGAGAATTTACATGTAGCACGTGTAACTAGTCTTTACTCAAAGTTATTGCATTTCCTAAATGTCGTTTGATTACAAATAAGATAGCATTGATAGTTTCTGACGTTATTTCAAAACGGGTTTAAAATAATAGGTGTTATTTCAAAATTAGGCGATGAGTGGTCGAGTGGTTGAATCGATGTGAGACTGTGAGGTCGAGTCGGAGGCGACGGACGGCACTGAAGTCATAATTACCCTAGGCATTATGCTCCATTTGGGCGCAGGCCGAAACAGAGTGATATCGGGTAATTGGTCGTCAACTCGGCGCTCGACTCTCGGCCGCGAGATTGGATCAAAGCGTAGATGACGCCTCTGAGCCGACACCACGGCGCCACACCCGCATTATACAATGTTGATGGCCTTTTCCTTGTCAAAAATGACGAAGATCTTTTGTCATAAAAAACATAAGATGAAATAAAACGAGATTACCTAATGTGAGCACAAAATTGTAGTATCACCGGAGTCAGGTAGTCGCAGCTGACAATGGACGGAAACATATTGTAGTTACTAGGATACGTAATTACGAGGAAAGGAAGGGTTTAACGGAATATTGCGTACTTGATCAAGTCTTATAATTGCAATAAATTATTGAGCAATCAGAATGTTACTCTATGTAGGTAAATATCATGGCATTGGTCTCTCGACAGTTGAATGTAGTGGGTACATAGAACTTTAAAGCTGCTGAAGCATAGAATTGCTATTATTAAATAGATCTCCACGAGATAATTTCAATAGAGGCCGGATGTATCAATGACTAAGCGTATCAGATTACTTAATAATGCAACTTGGTTTATTGGGTCAATCCGACACACTGACGTCACGCTCTCCGATATCTATATATATAAAATTCAAAGGTGATTGACTGACTGACTGATTGACTGACTGACATAGTGATCTATCAACGCACAGCCCAAACCGCTGGACAGATTGGGCTAAAATTTGGCATACAGATAGATGTTATGACGTAGGCATTCGCTAAGAAAGGATTTTGATAATTTCCACCCCCAAGGGGGTAAAAAAGGGGATGAAAGTTTGTATGAGACTTTGTCAGTTTTAAACCGATCGGGTTGTAATTTGGCATGCAGATAGATGTTATGACGTAAGCATCCGATGTGAAAGGATTTTGATAATTTCCACCCCCAATGGGGGTAAAATAGGGGATGAAAGTTTGTATGAGACTTTGTCAGTTTTAAACCGATCGGGTTGTAATTTGGCATGCAGATAGATGTTATGACGTAAGCATCCGATGTGAAAGGATTTTGATAATTTCCACCCCCAATGGGGGTAAAATAGGGGATGAAAGTTTGTATGAGACTTTGTCAGTTTTAAACCGATCGGGTTGTAATTTGGCATGCAGATAGATGTTATGACGTAAGCATCCGATGTGAAAGGATTTTGATAATTTCCACCCCCAATGGGGGTAAAATAGGGGATGAAAGTTTGTATGAGACTTTGTCAGTTTTAAACCGATCGGGTTGTAATTTGGCATGCAGATAGATGTTATGACGTAAGCATCCGATGTGAAAGGATTTTGATAATTTCCACCCCCAATGGGGGTAAAATAGGGGATGAAAGTTTGTATGAGACTTTGTCAGTTTTAAACCGATCGGGTTGTAATTTGGCATGCAGATAGATGTTATGACGTAAGCATCCGATGTGAAAGGATTTTGATAATTTCCACCCCCAATGGGGGTAAAATAGGGGATGAAAGTTTGTATGAGACTTTGTCAGTTTTAAACCGATCGGGTTGTAATTTGGCATGCAGATAGATGTTATGACGTAAGCATCCGCTTTGAAAGGATTTTGATAATTTCCACCAAGGGGGTAAAATAGGGGATGAACGTTTGTGTGAGGCTTTGTCAGTTTTACACCGATCGGGTTGAAATTCGGCGTGCAGATGGATATTATGACGTAAACGTCCCTTTAGAAAGGTTTTTGAACATTCTCACCCCAAAGTATGATACTTTGCCAGTTTTAAATTGATCGGGCTGAGACTTTGCATGCATAAAGTTACTATGACATAGGTATCTCTTTAGAAAGGATTTTGATAAATTCCACCCCTAAGGGGATAAAATAGGGAATGAGAGTTTGTATAAATCTTCTTAGCCGTTGAATTTAGAATCATTGAATCTTTTTGAATTACATTCGGTAAAACGATGATTTGGGACCTGGGTAACGTATGATAGTTTTTTCACAGATGTCTCACGAGAACGGGAACTATGCGTCAATGCCCCAGGACTCTCTAACTCTTAACCACTGAACTTATTCTAGAGAGATTCGGTACAACAATAGTCGATAGAATAGTTTTTATTACTCAAACCTTACGTGATCGGGCACTGTACTGGTAAGATCCCTGCGGGATTATTTATTTATTGAAACTACGATAAATCATTTCAAAATAGGTAAATCTTACTTGGGCACTGAATTGATTCTGGTTAATTCTGTCAGAAGTCATTAATCTACGCGGACGAAGTCGCAGGCAACAGCTATCTACACATATAATAAATCGTAGAAAAGTCAAAACTGTACATTGAATATTTTTTAAAAGAATATTTGAAGCGTGATCTCTAATCGATACCGAAGCCAATAATGTGGTTTTTAGAATTTTTGTCTGTTTGTCTGTATGTATGGCCGTGATGATCTCAAAAAGTACTGCACTACTATTTCAAATTTTGCATGAATATTACTAACAAGTCTGGTAAACATATAGGCTACATATTATCGCGCTGTCATCTACGGGACTGAATCAATTCTGACGACATCCATTACCGTAGAATATCCCTTGATAAAAACTAATTCAAAAGCCTAAATTCTGCCAGAAGTCATTATTCTACGCGGACGAAGTCGCGGGCAACAGCTAGTTTTATATCAATAAAATTATTTGTTTTAAGTCGTACCAGTCACTGCACCAGACTTTCCAAATAATTGGAAAAATTACACGTCTTGCTCGAAAATATAAGAGTAAAATAATTAAATTAATGTGTGAAGCAATAAATCGTGGTAACTGAAGTCGAACGTATCTCACGGAGCGGGAGATGGCCGCCGCGTCTTCACGCAGATTGGATAATTTAAAATTATCTACCAAAATTATGATGAACCGAAATGAATATTCAAGCGAAACGCTTAGCTCTCGACGTGTTATTAAGATGATCGTGAAGTCGTTACTGACAAAATTGTATTTCATAAAATTCATAACTATACTTATGAGCTAATATTTTTCGACAACACGTTATTGAAAATAATGAGCCTAATCTATATTCGACAGACGATCATTTCTACATGATAATAATATTGATTGGTTATTTAAATACGATATTATAACTTACCAATATCGATAGACCGCGTCAGTTACGTAAAAATATTTTACCACGCGATATTATAGCAAAATTCAAACTTATCTTACCGAATATTTGTGCTAAACAATTAATAAGACAATATTTAATTTAAGATAACGTATGAATACAAATTCATTAATGTTGTTATTGTACCTATCTCATTACGGCATCAAAGTTTAAAGCGACCCACTTTTCTGTGGCAATTG